CAGCCTGGTGCCCGCATGCTCGCCAGGACAGCGGAGCCGCCGCTGCGGCACGGACCCATCCTCCTCTCCCCTCGTCCTGCCCAGCACCGGGATGTGCAGGGGCAGCCTCGCTGTGCCTGGGGAGGCTTGAGGCCACGGTGATGGCGTGGAAGGGGTCACTCCTGCTGGGTGACCCCTTGGCCGCGGCTCCTCTCTTGATTTTTCTGTGCCGCTTGAGAGTCGAGGCTGAGGCACTGGAGAGAGGAGCTGGGCAGTGCAGTGACAGTGGATGCCGGCACCTTGCAGAAATTGGCCGTGATCTCTTTCCTGCTGAGATCCTCTTCCTTCCTCCCCACCCACCGCAGCCCCTCTCTGTTTTAGCACAATGAATTAGCGCTAATAGCACTTCGTGCCTCGTCTGCCATCGGGGTCGTGGCACTCATTAGCAGCTGCCTTGCCGAGGCCAGCAGCCTCGCCTCCCCGCCGAGCCGAGGCGAGCTGCCGCTGCTGTGCTGGGTGGGAAGGCAGCCGTGCCCGTGGGCTTTGTCCCTGCTCTGCCATCGCCTCCCCTGCGGGGATCGCGGCAGCCCCGCACTCGGTGGGAAGGTGGGAGCGGGCAGGGGACGGGCGCGGAGGGCAGGGGTGGGTGTGAGCGTGGGCAGCAACGCGTGGGTTTGTCCCTTTAAGTGGAGCTGCCTCCTCTCCAGCTTTGGCACCCAGCCGCTTTCAAGTCTCCGACTTCAAAGGCAGCGGATTAAGGGGCTCTTTTATCTGAATGAAACCTTAAGCCCCACTTCCCGGTGGATGGTGGATTCCAGGGTGCTGAATGCCAGGGTGCCCATGGATTCTGGGGTGCTGGCATCCTTGCTGGACTCACCCTCTTTGCTAGGGGTGCTCCACAGGGCTGGTGAGGGGTGCTGCATGGGTGGAGGTGCCCAACCAAGGGAAGGGATGTGGGGGCACTGATGGGATGGTGTTTGGATGTGGGATGGCTTCAAGGCTGAGTAGGAGGGCCGTATCCTTCCCTCACTGCCACCATGTACCACCATGCCACTGCCACTCCCTTACTGGGAGCACTGGGTGCCATCCGTGCCCCTGCCTGGGGACGTGGCTGTGAGCAGCACCGCCAGCCAGAGGATTGTGGCTGTGGGCAGGAGTGAGCCCAGCCCTGTGTCCGCTCTTTTGGGGACACACTTGGGGACACACTGGGGACCTGGTTACGTTGCTGGAGGTGAGGTGTGAATCGGCAGGTGGCCTCGTTAGTTTCTGCCTCTTCCTGCTATTAATATTCATCGCCAGCATTAATGTGGAATCGCAGCTCGCCGCCTGCTCCTGCTGGCCCTCCTCACCCAGTGCTGGGGCCGGATGAGCCTCCGACGTGACAGGAATGGCTGCAGCTGTGTGCTCTGGCTGCCGTGGCCAGGCTGGGGACAGGGGCTTATGGTGCCATCAGCCCTGCACTAGTGTCCCCTTCCTCCTGGTGACAGAGAGGATGTGAGGGCTGAGCGTGACAGGAATACCTGTGTGCCCCTGGGGGGCATTGCTCAGTGAGCAGCCCCTTTTCCCAGCCCATGCCCACAGCCTCCTGCCTCGTCCTTGCTGGTGGGAGTTTGGGGAGGGAGTTCCCCCTCCCCTGCATTCTCTGCTGCTGGCTGCAGAGCCATGCCCAGGGCTGGTGCCCTGGGGTGACAGTGGCCACCCCTGTGTGTTTCAGTTGAGCTGGAGCCGTGTCAGCTGCCACTCAGACAGAATATTTATCCTTTCTGCTGGAGCTGCCTTTTAATAGAATATTTGTGCCGTGGCCTGGTGGTGCTGGGGAGAGCCGAGAGCGGGGATGTGGCTCACTCCCCCGCATCATAGCCGGCTCCGAGAGGACACAGTGCTTGCTGTGCGTCTGTCTGTCCCCGTGCAGTGGGATGGCAGTGTCACCACGTCCCTCACTGCCATGTGGGAGTGAGCAGGCCCCCGGGGAGCTCCGTGGAGTAAAGAGGGGAGGGGGCGGCCAGGTGGGGCCTGTCTGAGTTTCCCAGCATCGTACTGGCGCTTGCCAAGCCCCGAGAGGCTGCAGGGATGAAGATGTAGCCGAAGCATCGCAGCCACCGCTGGAAAGGCCAGTGGGGTTCTTAGCCTGGAGCTTTTGAAATCAGGAGCAGTCTTGGAGCATTGACCAGTGTGAGGCCAGTTAATTACCCTTAATAGGTTTGTCATTGTCAAAGATGTGCCGGGGCAAGCGGCCGGGCTGCGGGAGGGGCGGTGGGGCCGGGGTCTGCCCGCTGCCGGTGCCACATCACGACGCTCCCGCGGCACCTTCCAAATTGGCTCCATTTGTCACGGCTGATGTCATTCGGCAGAGGGGAACTCGTGCTGGGGGGTGGCAGTGTGGAGAGCCGTGTGGGGGGAGCTCGGACCACAGCTCAGGGAGGGGCAGCCCCCCAGCCCACCCGCTGTCGTGCCGGGGAGGTGGCAGTCGTGTCCCCCTGTGCCACCAGCTTGCAGCTGGGGGCTGTGCAGCCAGGAGCGGGCCCCCGCTCCCCTCCCTGGCGGGGCTGGAGCAGACGGATCAGCTGGGCTCTCAGCTGGGCTTTTGATTCCGTGTTAATAAAGTCGGCTGTCAGGCTTCACAGCTGCTAATCCCTCTGTCTTCCTGTGCCACGCTGGGGTGAGAGGCTCCTGCTAATCAGCCAGGGCTCGGTGGCGGGGATGGGCAGTGGCAGAGGGGCACAGGAGTGTCCTGATGCCCACACAGGCTGCCCTGCTGCAGCTTTAAACACCTCCCCACTCCCAATGGCTTTTGAAGATCCATGAGAGGCAGTGCTGGAGGGGTGCAGACCATCCTCGTCTTATCCTGGTGACTTAGGAGTATATGGGGACATCTTGGAGTGACATTGAGTCCTGGTTGAGCAATAAAGAGTTAAACATCTGTGTGCACAACCCAACAGCTGTGGCAGAGCTTGAAATGCCCCACTATGGCTGACACAAAACAGGCCCTGATGGCTGGTGTGCCCCACAGTCCCCGGTGCCATGGCTGGTGTGCCCAGCAGGTTCCCAGTGCCAGCAGGCACCAGGTCCCTTGGCCAGGCAGGTCTGCCATGTGGCACTGAGCAGTGTGGTACTGAATGCTGTGATGAAGCTGGCAGCATCACCAGGGGGTCCCAAAAGGCCACCCTGGGACACTGACACAGATCAGGATGTGGCCTCAGGTGCACAGTGCCATGGCTCTGCCGACCAGCGCTGCCTTCCCTTCTTCCCTCGTCCTTTCACGCACAACCTGGAGGCGCTGGCAGCGGGTGCACACTGTGCAGGGGAATTTAATCACTGTCATTAACCACACAACAGCATCATTAGGAGGAGTGAAGTTCTCACTTCATTGGAGATGTTCAAAACCTTCTACCCGGGTGGTGGCTGCGCCAGGGGGATTTGGCTGGAGGGAATGTGTGGGGTCTATAGGGCTGTCACCTTCCAGGGCTGGGATGTGCCAGCACAGGTGTGGTGCCCACCACCAGGTGCCCCATGCCACCTCCTTGTGTCCCACAGAGCTCTGTGATGTGACCATTGTGAACAGGGGACAGGCACCATCCAGACACAGGATGGTCATGGTGGTTTTACAACCAACGTGCCCTTGGTTTGTCTTTTTGTGGGGTTTTCCTGCTGCTATGGGACCAGCAAAGCTGGGGTGCCCTGGGATGTGCCCCTTGAGAGGTGTTTGCCCTGCCACCTATAGTGAGGACAGAGTAGGAAGTGCCCTCAGGGGAGGGGACCCAGCTGGAGATGGTTTCTCCTGGGGGGATGTGGGGACACCCACCTCTCCCCACTGTGCCCCGCTTGCAGAAGCTCTGTGAGGTCCCATCACTGCCCAGCTGCAGCTGGGCTCTTCCAGCACCAATTGCAATAAAATAGCAAACTCATTATTTTAATTACGTGCAGCCTTCCTGTGCTAATGAAGTTGGGAGTCTGGTAATGGGGCTTGGTGATGGGCTTCTCCGCTAATTAAGTGCACTGTTCCCGGCCAGGGCTGGGCTCAGCCCCCACAGCCCAGGACAGCAGCACCCACGGGTGTCCTGGGACATGCTGGGCTTGGGCACAGGGCAGGCAGTGGGTGTGGAGTTCGTGGGGTGATCATGGGGTGCTTGTGGGGTATTTGAAGGGCCACATGCAGGTGAGGCAGGTGGCTGTGAGGCGAGGGGCAGGCTGCACCATGTCCCTGTTCCCGGCACAGCATGCAGGCACCCTGACATCATCCCAGTGTTGTCTCCATCCTCCCATAGCACAGGGGTCCTGGCCACTCTCAGCCCAGTCCCCTCAACACCCTCCCCAACAAGGGCTGGTGGACACACAGGGGCTGAGGACTTGTCTCTGCTGGGGAGAGCAGCTCTGCCTCATGGTTTGAGGACCAGCACTTTATCATTCACACACTGCCAAGGGACCTCGCACTCCTGCCAGCAGCAAATGCTCTCATTCATTTTTTGAGGGGCTGGGATAAATCAGGGCCGCTCCAACCAAGTGCCTGTGCTCAGGTGACGGGGACTGGCTACCCCATGCTTGGAGACATGCAGGCCCCATGTGTGCATGTCTCTGACCCAGTGTTTTCAGCCCCAAAACTTGTCCCTGGATTGCTGCTGCCTCCATCCTGCGCTGGGGAGCAGAGCTGGGAGGGCCTGGGGGTCCCAGCTGGGACTGGGGCCGGGACCTGGCCCGCCCTGGAGCACATCCTGCCAGTGCTGAGCATGGGGCTTTATAAATGGGATTTTGGGAGCCATCTGTTTAAAGGAGCAGATAATGAATTAGGGGGAGATGAGAAAAATGCTAAGGCCAGGCGGTTTTTCAGAATGAGCCGGGGTTTGCGGGACGTAAAAGATGAATAACCTCCCCACGTGTTCAATATTCATGAGCTCCCAGCTGTAAGGAGCGTCTCAGCACTGGGTGGGGACATCCCTGTCACCACTGCCAGCACGCTGCTGGGACCCATCCGTGGCTGTGACAACTTCCAGGGGCACAAAACACAAGAACGCTGCCGTGGCTGCCCCTTGCCTGCGTCCTGGTCTGGGCTGGCTGGCAAGCAGCTCCCCAGCCCGCATCGGAGGCAGGTGGCTGCTAATTGACATTTCCTTCCTCTGTAGTTTGATGAAAGACTCTGGCGACACCGAACTGATTAAAACATCAAGGGGAGGCCCTGGTGCTTGCCTTTGATTTGTCTCGGGAGATGATTACGGCTCCACTGGATTGTCCAGCCCAGCCGGAGCGGGTGATCCCGGTCCATGCCGTCCTGGAGCCCCTCCTGCAGCACTACCAGGCTCCAGCACCGTTGGGTCCCCTCCTCACCAGGCACCATCCCGTGGCCTCTTTGCTCACCTGTGACTCCACTCCCTGAAGCCAAAGGAGGAATCTTGCCCATGGCCAGCGCAGGGCTCAGCCTCCTCTCCCTGCCCAGCTGCAGCCCCACAGGGCCACGGGCACTTCTGCCCTCCTCCTTCCACCGTTGCTATTTCACTTTCTTGCTCTTCACCCCCAGGGACTTTCTCTGGGGTTTGGGCCAATTTGCATACATTTTAATCTATAAAAAATTAAGCGGCGCTGGCTGCCGCTCTGAGTCAGACCTCCCCATCCTGAATCTTAAGGAGCTGAATAATTTTCCACTTTTGCTGAGATGTGTGGAGTCTGATTCATGTTCATCTCATCACCTCTCATTAGAGGAGGGGGCTGGGGGCTTGGAAGGGTGGGAAGAGCCTTCTCGAACCTTCACTGGTAGCCCCCAGCCCCATGGTGTGGCCACGTGGGCAGCGGAGGAGCCATCCTCGCATCCAGGCCACGCTGGCCGTGAGGAATCGCAGGATTTGGGTGCTGGCAGGATCCACCCCATCTTCTGACGCTCTCCAGCTGTATCCCCAACCCTTGTGGAGTGGGAGCTGCCCAGGCAGGACTGGGGAGGTGAGAATGGCTGTGTCCCCTCCTCGGGGGTGCTGCAGCATTGCTGCTCCCCTGTCCCCCTCCCCGGGCGCTGGCGGATGGGCCGGAGCTGTTAATATTCAGCACGCTCCGCCATTTCTCCACCTTCTGCCATCTGCCCAGCTCTGCCCACCATTTCTATTCTTGCCGCCGACGTAACGTTCCCTGCCTGGCGCTTGTGGGGGGCGCGGGACCCTGGCCCCTAGCCAGCCATGGGTGCTGCAGGGGGTGACGCTGTGCCAGGGCCTCCTCCTTCCCTGGTCCCCTGTGCCAGCAGCAGGGGGGACCCCGCTGGCACCGAGCTACAGCCAGGCCTCAAGTAAATAAGGAATTAGCATCTGGTTTAAGCAGCCCTTCCAGGCACGGGGCTTTGTCATGGCAATACCTGCTCTCATCCTGCTGCGGCAGCTCCCTGGGAAGGCAGCCAAGCTAATAATCCCCCAAAATGGTGCAATAAATACCCACAAAGGTGGTGCCTCTAAATCATGCCAGAGTCCTGGCTTTGCTGCTCACTGCTGGTGTGTGCCCCTTCACCCACAGGCTGGCAGGTGCCAGGTGGGTTTGGACTGAAGCACTGAGGGTAGGGGACAGCACCAGTGGTGGTTTGGCGCTTTCCCTTGCCAAGTGCCACTCAAGCACCAGCTCTTCTGGAGGTCACCCAGCTTGGCCAAACCGGCATGCGGGGGTGGCACAGCCAGGTGCAGATTGGATTCACCGGCTCACACAGTGCTCAGGTATGGGATGATGATGGCTTGGCTGGCACCGCAGGGGATTCCAGGGCACCTCTTCTGCCCATCCTGGTGACTCCAGTGCCCAGGGCTGTCTGGTGGAAGCAGTGGCACCACGCTGTGCCGGGTCTCCCTCTGCTGCTCTCCCTGCTGGAGCATTAGGAATCTGGCAGCGTATTGTTTGATGAGTGGATAATCCGCTGAATTGCAAACAGCTTTACCCAATTGAAGAGGCGGATTACCGCTCTCCAGCTTAATCATGTTGACATCTCGGAGAGTAGCCAGTGCTTGTCCTCTTCAGCGCGTGGCTCGGTGGCAGCGCGGGGTCCCCGCATAGTGACACGCCACGAGGCTGGGGGGCAGAGCCTGGGCTGTGGTGACGCAGCCGTGACCCTCAGTGCTGTGCCTTCCCACAGATTCACGGGTGCAGAGGCGGTGGTGATGGGTGACGTGACCTACGGCGCCTGCTGCGTGGACGACTACACGGCCCGGGCCCTGGGCGCTGACTTCCTGGTGCACTACGGCCACAGTTGCCTAAGTAGGTGCCACTGAGTCCCGGGGTGCTGCTGGGGTGGCCGTGTGGGTGGGTGCACACTGTGGAGGCTGTGCCGCTGCCACCGTGCCACGCCGAGCAGCTCCACACCCCTCTCGACGCCAGCTCAGAGACTTAGTGCCGAAACTAATCCCTTCCCAAAGGGCATTCTGATCTCTCAGCTGCTGGCTTTGGATGGGGCCAGGCTGGCTGGATGGTTGCTCACAGGCAGGATTTTGGGCGCAGCAAGGCGTGCTCATCCTGCTCGGCTGCTGCAGCAGCGCACGGATCCAGCCTTGTTGTCCCCAAGAGCAGAGCAGCAAGGCCATGGCTTGGCAGGACCCAGCTGGCCCAGGAGCTGCCAGCAGGGATGAGGCTGCTCTTGCCCCTCACCTGGCCTCTGTGGAGTGATGAGGAAGGGAATGATGGCAGAGGAGAGCAAGGGCCTGGGGGTCCCGCTCGGCTTTGCGGGCACAGTGCAGGCTGGGCGGGGAAGGGAGGAGGAGGCTGTGTGCTCCCCAGGCGGACAGTACTCTGGATCCAGTTGCCATGGAAACTGCGCTGCTGTCCCAGATGCTGCTAACTTTGAAGTCCACCCAGGATGGAATCAGCCCAAAAATAACAATAAGACGCTCTGGGTTTTAAGGTGGATCTGCAGAATTGCCATAGTGAATAGGAGGTGTGTGCATTCCTGCTGCTGCCACACTCCCAGCACCTGGCAGCCCTCCTGGACGTTTATGGGGTCCTATAAACGGGTTTGAAGAATTGCATCGGGCTCTGTATGAAATACTCACTCCCCAGTTGAGAACTCTGTCCTGAAAGCCACGTCGGTGTGAGCATTCGTGGTAATAAATATGTGTGCTAGGTGCTTTGTTATGGAAGGAGGGTTATGGGCACCACTGGAACAGGGAGTATAAAACTCCTGGTTTGCAGCCTGCTGCTCATGAATGAACAGTGGGAAGGGGAGGAAGGAGCCGTATCCATCAGGCTGCTCCAGGGAATGGGAGTCACATCAGCTGGAGCTGCTCCCTGCAGGGACAGGCAGGCACTGCCAGGCTGACTGTCACCAGCCCAGCTGCCATCTGCTGCCTGTGGCCTTGGTGCCCTTGCCTGCTCTGGGTTGGGTGGGTCACAGGGCACCCTGGGTTACCCACGGGCTGCTGTGAGGATGCTGGGCTCCTTTTGAACTGTCCACGGTGGTCCTGTCACCTGGGTGGCCAATGGTGAGGCACACAGATGCTTCCTGCTCCTTCCCAGCCCCACGTGCCCCACAGGAGGGAGTAATTTGCACTTAATTGTGATCAGGGAAGAGCACCAAAATGGGAAGTGAACGGGGAGCTGCAGATCGATGTGGACTCTGTGTACTTTAATTATTCACTTAATCGTGGTGACAAAGGCTTCTTAGCACCAGGGGTAATTAGATTTGTGTTCATTGATTCCCCTGGCTGCCATTATCTGGAGAGAAAGGAGCGGGTGCTCTCAGTGGCTCCCATCTGTACCCCCTGCCCTGGGTGCCAGCACAAGAGCGGGGTGGCACAGCCCACCCTGCCTGTGCCAGAGCAGTTTGGGGCACAGGGAGCCTCACCAACATGCTTTATTCCCCAGCTGCAGGCAGCAACAGCTTGGGGCTCACTGGAGCCCCGGGTGTACCCCACACTCAGACCCTGTCTCTTCCCATCACCAGTTCCCATCGACTCCACACAGGGGCTGAAGATGCTCTATGTGTTCGTGGACATAAAGATCGATGCATCCCATTTTCTTGAGACCATTCGCTTCAACTTTGCGGCGGGCACCTCCCTGGCCCTGGTCAGCACCATCCAGTTCGTCTCCACGGTGCAGGTGAGATGGAAATCCCTGGCTTTTGTCTCCTCCTGAGTTTTCCTCTGGCTCAGCCCTTCCCCATCGCACCTTGCGCTGGGAGCACTGCCCCGGAGTGCTGGTGGAGCTGGTTCCCCTCTGACGAGTCGCTGCAGTAACGTGCCGCTGCCATAATGTTGATCAAGTACTTTATAATAACTCTGATCAATGTTTCATGGGAGCACCCCTCCCCAGCTCCCCCGGGAGCTGCTCTGGAAATGTCAGGGCAGGCGGTGGAGCACTTGGCATTTTGATGCAGTGCCGGCAGCGGCCGGGGAAGCTCCGGCGGGTCTGTCTGTCTGGCCCTGAACGGCCGGCTGGGCAGGGCAGGAGGAGATGAATGGGCCTCTTGAGCCGTGTCTATCTAAACACGGGGCTATCCAAGCGTTAAGCCTTTTCCCTTGTCTTTTAATTGATACGTTTGTTGAGCCTCGCTGAGCATCCCGGCTGTGCGGGGCTGTTCCTGGTGCCACCCCGAGCAGGCTGGTTCTCCCCCACTGGGTCTGGGACTGCCACAACTGGGGTGTCCCCAAGGGTCCTCAGCCACCCTTTGTGCCATGGCCTGTCCCTGCTGACACCATATCTCCCACAGGCAGTGTCACAGGAGCTGCGCTCCCAGTACAAGGTGTGTGTGCCCCAGTGTAAGCCGCTGTCCCCAGGAGAGATCCTGGGCTGCACGTCACCCCGGCTTGCTCAGGACACGGATGCCATTGTGTAAGTACCCGGGGTCCTTCACCACCCTCCTGCCTGGCCCAGACTTCCCATCCTTCCTACACCCCCTACCTAGTTTTGTGCAGTTTTGGGGGGTGGTGAGGGACATCCACAGGCTGGGATGGGCCCCCTTCAGCTCCTCACGCTGCTTTAAGTGGCGTGTGCTTGTAGCACAGAGGAAATAATTGAGTCGTATATCAGAATAGATAATAGATGGAAGGGCGGGTGGATAATTGGAAAAGACAAATGGCCGGGGCCCAACATCACAGCAACATTAATTTTATTTAAGGACAGCAAATTAGAGGGAGCACTTCGCTTCCTATCACCTAATTATTTTAGGTAATGGAAATGCTTAATGTACTGTGAATACAGTGTGCTGCAGAATAAATAAATACAAGGACCCCACCCTTGGGGGGAGCTGGGGAGCCCAGGTGTGGGTTTGGGCCCTGCTGAGCTCCTTCTTGCCCACACTTCTTGCCCAACAGCAATGGTGCCTTTCCAGGCACAGCCAGGCAGGGAGCTGGGCTCCAGATTGCTGGGCATGGGGTCAGTGGGAGCTCTGGATTCATCCTGAGCCACTTTCCGTCTCTCCAAGGGCATCAGGAGCAGGCAGGGGCAGCCAGGCTGGCACTGCACTGCTGACAGTGGGTCCTTTCAGCTGGCAGAGGAGCGGCAGTGCGGTACCAACCCGCGCAGGTGCACTCGGCCTTACCTGCGTCCTCCCTGCGTTATTATTTTCTTCTTTGCACCATCTCTGGGGCTAACTTTTGCAGACAAATTAGCTTTGATCTCCCAAAATGTCATTCTCCAATTAAGGGCAAAATCTAGTCAAGTTTTACGTCTGAATTCATTTTCCAAGCCCTCACTCCATTAGGGCAGCTGAATGAAAGGCTTTGAAATGTAATTGCTGACTGGAAATCCGATTAGAAATGGAAGCAGCAACGTCTAGAACCAGCCATTGAGATGGAGCAGCTCCCAGCCACCCCGTGCTGGTGTGAGCACCCCTCCTTGCTCTGAGCATGGCTGCCTCTCCAACCTTGCCATGCCAGGGAGCCCTGGCTGCGCCTGCTGCCCCTGTGTCCCAGCACAGGAGCTTGGATTGCTGGTATCTCCACTGTCCTGCAGTTTGGGAAAACAGTGGACACGTGGATGGGGTGCTTGCTGCTGTTTCCCAGTGCCATAGCTCTCCCTCCCCTCTCGGCAGGTATTTGGGCGATGGGCGCTTCCACCTGGAGTCCATCATGATTGCCAACCCAGGGATACCTGCATACAGGTACACACACCCACTCCAATCCCATGGCGGGGAGCACCCCATCTGTCCCCGTGTGCACCCCAGGAACACCCCAGGGCTGGGCAGGTAGCTGTCAGCAGCAGGCAGGGGCAGGTGAGAGGCCATGGGGTGGGTGAGGAGGTGCTTTGGGGGAGATGAACACCAGCCATTTACTCCGGCTGAATATAAACATTTTGACAAGTACCTGTGAAAGCTCGTGGAGGTGCAGCCATTAAAGCACGGCTGCTGCAGGCAGAGGCCATAAAGCGTGATGATGAGGCCGCTGAAAGCAGATGAAATATCAGGAGTGAAAGGCTGGGCCCATTTGGTGGAATCTGAATTTCCTAGTAGGTCGTTTGTTAGGAGCGGGAGGCGCACGTCAGGTTTATGGCACTGGTGAAGCTGCCGAAACCCGAGTGGGATTTGATTAAAATTCTCCTCGTCAAACAAAGCAACAAATCAAAGAATTCTTTATAATTGATGAGCCAGGGTGGGGGGGAGCTGAGTGTGAAGCCGAGAACGGAGCCGAGGCTGTGCTGGGTGTTGGGGTGCTGTGGTGGGACACTTGTCCCTATCCGTAAGGAACCGGCTGGGTCCTACATCAGCCAGGAGGACAGATGCTGTGGGAGGCAATTAGTGCTAATGAGGGACCGGCATCACTGGGAGGAGGGCAGGTGATGGAGCACGTGTGAGCCTGGCTGTGCTTTGCAGGTACGATCCCTACAGCAAAGTGTTCTCGCAGGAGCACTACAGCCACGAGCGCATGCACCGCGCCCGGCAGGACGCCATCCGCGCTGCCACCAGTGCCCGCTGCTGGGGACTCATCCTGGGCACGCTGGGCCGTCAGGGCTCCCCCAGCATCCTACAGGTACCAGCCTTGTCCCCACTGTCCCTACTGGGCAGCAGGCGCTGCTGTTGGGTGGGGGGAAGCACTGATGGCGATGGCACCATCGCTGTCCTCGCTGCCAGGGTGAGGGTGGATGTGGCACTGCTGGTGGCCCATCAGTGGCCACTGGCCCGGTCTGCATGGGCAATTATCAGCAGACGAGGGAGGCTGGACAAGGACTCATTAAACCCGTTCCTGGGGAGAGCTGGCCAGTCTCGGAGAACCCCCCTCCGCCCAGGCAGCTCGGCAATTAATTGGCTGGGTTTGTTTTAATTGGATGAACTTCCGATCAGGTTCAGCGTCCCTGCTCAGTTGCTGTGCTGGTGCTTTCTGCACCCTGGCTGGGTGAGGGGAGCAGGACAGCAGAGTTCTACCCTCTGAGTGTGGTGGTCGTGCTCACACCCAGAAATTCTGGGGTAGCCACAGGTGAGGTTTGAGGCAGTGCAGGGACCAGGGAGCAGAGCAGGGCAGCAAGGTCCCAGCAGCTGCTCTTCCACAGTGGGCAGGACACAGGCACGGGGCAGGGGGCGATTAGTGCCAGCTCTGCAGGACAAGGACATCTCTGGCCCCTCTCCTCCTCCTGAAAGCTGTGGCTGCAGCCAGCCCATGACAGGCGGGTGTCCCAGGGCAGGCAGCCGCTAACGAGAACAGATTGTTGTCATTGAGCAGTAATTACTTCATTAGGCTGAGGCACGTGCTGGGGAGAGCTGGGCACAAGCCAGAGCTATGGCCGCAGTCTGGCCTATGACTGACAAGGGGATGGGGCTGTGGGGCTGAACTGGGACCCACAGAGGGTCTCATGGCCAGGAAGGGGCTGTGGGCTGGGGGACCCTAACCCTGCTGGGTGCCTTTTTCCCCTGCAGCACCTGGAGTTGCGTCTCCGTGCCCTGGGCCGGCCCTATGTGCGGGTGCTGCTGTCTGAGATCTTCCCCAGCAAGTTAAAGCTCTTCCCGGAGGTGGATGTGTGAGTGCTGCTGACCCCCCTCCAGCCTCAGGGTGTCCCAACCCTGTGGAATTCCTGCTTGAAGCTGTCCCTGACACATCCGTCACTGTGCAGGGAAGGGGCGTGGCTGTCCTTAGCAGGGTGGTGCTGGCACAGTAAGGACCTTCTGGGGTTCTGCTGAGGGACTTCACTGTGGCTTGTTCTTCCCAAAACGCTCATCCCCATTGTGACATTTCCCTTCCAGGTGGGTGCAGGTAGCCTGTCCCCGGCTCTCCATCGACTGGGGAGAAGCCTTCAGCAAGCCACTGTTGACACCCTATGAGGTGAGCACCCCTCTCCATTTTGGGGGGGACAGTCCTGGCTTGGGGTGATGCACCAGAGCAGGCTTGGGGATGTCCCTGTGTCAGACAGCGTCCCCTCCTCTCTCCATCTGTGTGCTCTGTATGCAGTCCAGGCATGCTGCTGGGATATCCAATCTTTTGTGAAACCTGTGGGATTCCCAGTGCCTCGAGCTTTGCCCCAGCAGTGCCCTCCTCAGCACGCCAAGCTGGATGCCGGGACCTCTCCCGGCACCACCAGCTCCCCCTCCATGGGCGCTGCTCGGGGACTCATCCCCGGTCCTCTCCGCAGGCTGCGGTGGCTCTCCAGGACATCGAGTGGCAGCAGCCTTATCCCATGGACTTCTATGCCAGCCAGTCCCTGGGGCCGTGGACGGTGAACCACGGTGGCACACAGCCGCCGCGCCGCGGGCGGCCGGCACAGGTGGGCAGCGGGGTGTCACCGAGTCCCCGCTCCGTCCGTCGGGCCGGTGAGAGCACCGGGAAGGGCTGAGCACCGGCTGCCGCTCGGTGCCCGGTGCCGCGTACCAAAAGCGCCACCCCGTGGTGTCGCTGCCATCGAACAGTAACGGGGACAGCGCCAGCCCGGCCCGGGGGGACACGCGGAGCCCCCCAGCCCTGCTCGGGGTGAGCGCCTGCCGAGCCCCGCGGCTCCCCGGGAAGGCGGGGGGTTCCCTCCGCAGTGCCCCGCGGGTTGGGCACGGGCTGGCTCATCGCAGCTCCGGCTGGGGCTGGGACATCCCTGACCCTCCCTCTCCCTGCAGGGCAAGGCAGCCGCGCCCCCCGCCCCGCCCGAGGCTGGGGAGCAGCCAAGCACCGGGGACCCCGCAGCCCCGTGAGCGTCGCCCGCAGCTGCCGCGCTCTGGGACCTGGCACGGGCAGCGGCGGGGGCACCGCTGGTGGCTCCCGCCAGGGTGAGCACCACCGGGACCCGCTCTGCCATCGCCGGAATGGATGGGGTCGCACCCCGTACATCGACGACACCACTGCCCGCAAGGACCGAGCCCGGCTGTCCGTGGGGAGTTGCCCCTTGCAAGACCAGGCCGTGCTGCTGCCCTGTCCCGGCCGCCGCCATCGCCCCGGGGGTCGCGTCCCGCCCCGTCGGGGCTGCCCCCTCCTCACCCGCCGGCGACCTCCCGCCGCCAGGGGGCGCGCGTCACCTCCGCGAGGGCGCTCCCCTCGCTCTCCTCTCCCCGGCCAATCAGCGCGCAGCGTTTCGGCGGGAAGGCGGAAGTGGCGCTCCGGGGGCGCGGCCATGGCTGAGGCGCGGCCGCTGCGGCTGCTGGCCCTGCACGGTTACCGGCAGAGCGCCCGCCGCCTCCGCCAGCGCACCGGTGCGCTCCGCAAGGCCCTGCGCGGCCGCGCCGAGCTGCTGATCATTGACGCGCCTCACCCGTTGCCCGCCGCCGCTGAGGACGACTCCGACGGGGACGACCCCCCCCGCGGCTGGTGGTTCTCCGGGCCCGGCACGTTCGAGGCGGGCGAAGCGGCTGCGGCTCCGGTGGGGCTGGACGAGTCTCTGTCCACCGTGGCGGCGGCGCTGGCGGAGTACGGGCCCTTCGACGGGCTGCTGGGCTTCAGCCAGGGCGCGGCGCTGGCCGCCATGGTGTGCGCCCTGCGGGCCCGCGGCGACCGGCGCTTCCCTGTGACCTTCGCCGTGCTGGTGGCCGGGTTCGCCAGCCGCTCCCCGGCACACGGACACTTCTACCGGGAGCCCATCGCCCTGCCCACGCTGCACATCGTGGGCGACACCGACGCCGTCATCGCAGCAGCCCTCAGCAGGGAGCTGGCCCGGTGCTTCGTGGAGCCCGTGATCCTCACGCACCCCGGGGGACACTTCATCCCCGCGGCTCCGGCGCAGAAGAAAGCCTACCTGGAGTTCTTGGAACGCTTCTGCCCCGGGCAGGGCCAGGCCGAGCAGCCGGGGGCTGGAAAGGTTTGAGATCGGGCTCTGTAATAATAAAGGACTCTGGTGAGCCACGTGCGCTCATCCTGTGAAACATCACTGTTTTTGTGCCTCCAGAGGGACCAGTGAACAGCTCTCTGCATATTCTGCTCTTCGGTGTCCACCCAGGCCAGGCTAAATGGTTTTTTATCTCTTTTTTTCAGCTTTGTTGTATACATCAGTATAAAATATATGTGTATATAAAGTTATATATATAACATGTATGACATATAACACGATTGCGGGGGTGTGACAGTGAGGGGGTTGAGGGCAGGAGGGTGACACTGTGACTGTGTGCAAGGTGCTTTCAAGCTCAAACACCTGCTCAAAATGAGAGTCCCTCAGCTCAACCACAGCAAGTGTCTGCAGGGCACAGAGCTCCTGCAATTTTACACCCCAAAGATTAGTGGTTTTTAATATCTGTTAAGCCAAACTTCCAGCTGGTCTGGGCCTGGAAAACCCTCTCATCCTTGGCAGTGCCAGGGCAACTGTTTGTTTCAGGAATGAAATGTCTGCTGGCTCGGCATGCGTGTGTTGGATCTTCCTTGCACAAAGTGCCTCCATGAACAAGAGAAACTTGTCACTGTTTGTGGCTCTGTATTATCCAGAAGCACACAAAAATCTTTATTGCTGTAACAGTTGCAGGTGTCCTGCCCAGCTTCTGCCCACCTCAGCACTGGGCACCAGTCTCAGGAGAGGAGTGCTAGCAGAGCTTCTCTAACCACAGCTTTCCTTGGGGCTGTAGAGTTGGTAAAAGAGGGAAATGGGGTGAAAAATGTGAATTTTCCCCGTGCTTGAGCAGCGGGGCAGTGCAGTGTCAGCTCTGTGAGCATTTCCCGTGTTCTCTGAGCTGGGAGCAGGCCTGGGAGCTGCCGTGGGTTAAACCAGCCCGGCAGGAGTGAGCAGTTCTCAGCCCCATCAGGTTTTTCCCCCTGATTTGCAGCAGGTTGGTGATGGTGGCAGGAGGATGTGGCTGTTTCCCTGCAGCCCAGCACCACGCTGCTGTTGCCCTGTGGTGCTGGGGGGGCTCTGGCAGTGCTGGCCGTCCGTGCCACTCGACGTGGGCTGTGTCACATCTGCTGCGGGGGGCGTGGGGTGTCTGCACCCCTTGGTGACCGCAACGGGGACACCAGAGGCTGGCTTTTCTGGGGTTTGCATGCCCGGCTGCAGCTGTGGCCGAACACAGCTGTGACAACGCACCGGAGCCTTTGTCCCCGCTCTTCCCCCGCGGCCGGGCAGCCCCCGGTAGCTGTTTGATCATCCGCGGTGCGGTCCCGGCGCGGGGGAGGCACCGCAGCCATGGCCCGCCCGCCCGCACTGCGGCCCCCGGCAGCTCCCGGGCACAGGGAGGCACTGGCAGCTCCTGGGAAGAGGGAATGAAAAAGAAGAAGCCCTAGGGTGCGGTGAGTGAGCAGCACGGTCCCAGCTCTGCGGGCGGCTCCCTCGGGTGGGGCCGGGAGGGATGGGTGACCTGAACTGGGGTACTGCAGTACCTGCCCCTTTCCCGGGGTCTGCATGAAGATGGCTCCTGCCGGGTGTCTGCTGTACCGGTTTAAATAAATTAATAAAAACGGATAAACGCGACCTTTGTCAGCAGGAGGTGCCTGTGTGAGCAGCGGAGGGAGGTCCTGCTTGGTCCCGGTGTGGTGGGAGGAGGGAAGCGACTCTCACGGCGTGTCCACAGTGGACAGAGGGGTTTGCCATGGGAATCCTGCCCTCTCCCTCCTTTCTACTGGCGGGATGCCCTCGGGCTGGCCCTTCCTCTCTCGCAGATCCAGGTCTGTTCTTGGGATGCGGCCACAGTCCTTGGCTGCCTGCAGAGGTGAGCCTGGAGACAAGACTGGCTGATGTCCTCCCACCCCTCACTCAGCCTGATGCTGGGGAGTTCCCTTTTCCATCACCCGGCCCAGGGGAGTCGGTTTTTCCCCCAGAACAGTGTGGCCAGTTGCTGTTGCTGAATGGGGGTGATGAAGTGAGCCCGAGATCTGTGTGGCAGCTGTGCCACTTGCCTGGGACAAGAGGGCCCTGGGGAAAGTCACCAGTGTTACCAGCAGCCCCAGGAGCCAGGCTGTTTTGGCAGGGGGGATGTCACCTTTGTCCCCAGATGTGCCTTTCCATACCCCAATGCAGCCACTGGAGCCACCTGTGTGACCTCAGGGGCAGGAAGGACCTTGGCTGTGGCCCTGCTTGTGAGGAGCCTGCTGCAGGTGTGGAGTCCAGGGCTCGACCAGGCAGAGCTTTGCTCCCCTGCCCTGCGTGAGCGGAGCCCCCAGCACTCTCCCAGTGTCCCAGGGAGGGCAGGAGGAGCCCGGCATGAGCAGAGATGCTGCCAGTGCTGCCGCTTCCCTGCAAACTCCCGCCTGTTTTCCCACCTCTCCCCAGCTTCCCGCACCACTTCTTCCTGTGCCACTGCCACCTCGAGGTCACTGCCACTGCCCACCCTGCCAGCCACCCACTTGGGGCACACCAGGCACTGGTGGGGTTCCTGTGGGCAGTGCTGGAAAAGCGACGTCCCACCAAGCCTGGCATCAGGGGCAGTTTGTGCCAGGGTTTGAGCCTTACTCATCTCACGCTCTTCCTCCTCTGTCCCCACCAGTGGGACCTGCCACAGGCGTGGGGAGAGGGTGCTCCGGGGGGGTGACGTATTTCCCAGATGGTTTTACAGTGAGGCTTCCCCCAAACCTGCCAAGCTCCTGCCTGTGAGGTGGCAGTGGCACAGGCAGGGGACAGCCGGGACCATCCCTGGGCCCCGCTGCTGGAGCAGGACCAAGCCTTTGGGAACAGCCCCCCCTTCCCTGCTTCACTTGCAGAAGCTTCCAGTTGTGGCTGAGTCACTCCTGCTGTAGCTCCTTCTCTTTCCTTGTTTTGGATGGAAGTTTTCCATGGAAACCCACGCTGGGCCGGGCTGCAGGCTGGGATAAACACGGCTGAATCACAAAAGGCCGTTTCTCCAAGAGCTGTCAGATGGCAACAACAGTGTGTGGGGCCAGTGGGCACCTGCCTGGCCTTTGGGGGGACAACAGCGGCACCTCTCCCTGCCGCCCCCACCAGCTTTGCTGGCTCAGCCCCCCCGGGCCCACCCTAAATTCCTGCGGTGCCAGGATGCCACTTGGCAAAGCCAGGAGCGGATGACAGGTTTTGTCTAGAAGTTTTCTGGGGCCACGTGCTTTCCCAGGGATGCACAGGGAAATCCCATCTGGGAGAGTCCCTTGGGACCTTCACTGCAGGCAGTGTCCACCCCAGTCCTCAGCTGCTGGGCTCTGCAGGGTCATGGCTTGGAGGTCCCAGAAAGACCCTTCCCACCCTCCTGGCCACGCACAGGGACACACTCCGAAGCTGCTGGGTGTGTTGCCGAGGTAAGGCAGCATTTGTGCCGTGCCTGTGCCCTGCTGAGCACCATTCCACCATGGAAGAAGCTGTGGCAGGGGCTGTGATCCTCCTTGGCACCACATTCCTTCCCAGCACCGCCGCAATCTCCGTGCTGAGGAGGAGCACAGGAGCTGGACGGCCTCTGTCCCCCGGCGCTGACGGCTGGCCCCAGGCCCAGCAGCTTGGAAACACCATTGGAAGACAAGTCCCAGTGTCAGGAATCCAGGATATTTTTAAGGACTCTGGAAGAAAAACTGATTCCAGGGTGTCAGCGGGAGAGACTTGGCCTTCAAAACAGCATTGCAGCTGGAACATTCCCGGGCTGGAGCGTGGGGTCCAACGGGCCACAGCGCTGCCCGCAGGACATGTCCCCTCACCCAGGGGTACCCTGGAAGGGACACTGATGTCACCATGGCCTTGGACCTCCCTGTGGTGCTGTTGATGGGGTGCAAACAAGGAGGTGTTTCCCAGGGTATGGAGAGTGGGTTTTATGGCAGTGGCAACGTTTCAGCAAAGATGTGCTGGACATAGCTGTGGTTTTACCTGAGCGCTGGTGGGACTGCCCGAAAATCCCCGTCCTGGAGATGTGAGGGGCCTGGCCTGTCACCAATGGCAGTGATGGGAAAAGCAGGAGTCAAAGAGAACAAGCAAGAGACATGGCAGGGCACAGCGGGGACCTGCTACCTCTGATCCTTCTCTGCCTATGGCTCCTGTGTCCCACTGTGGCCCTGCTGGCCCCTGGTGACCTGGTGGTGGCCATGCCTGTCTGGGTGAGGACAGAGCTGTTATGTGCATGACCACATGGATGAGCGAGGGATCCTAATGGGGCTGCTTTGGAGAGGGAGAGTGTGGGCAGGGGACCCTGCATGACCCCTATTCAGTCTAGGTGGGACACCCACAGAAGCCCTGTGCTGCAGGGTCCCAGGACTGAAGGTTCTTGTTCAGGGGCTCTCCCTGTTCCTCCTGCCGCACTCACCCACTTGGGCCTGACCCTACATGCCCGGTGTCCCCATGGAATTTGGTAGCTCCCTCCCCTCCCCTCCGAGTGGTCACTACGGCCCTTCCAGCCCCCTCTCTCCATCTCCGTGGCTGCGAGTCCCCGGGGCCCCCCGCCAGGAGCCCTGCCCGGCCAGCACCGGTCGCCGCCGGCTGCCGAAGGCCCGGTGCCCGCTGCCGGGGCAGGCCGGGCCGCTCTGACTTCGCCTCTCAGGAATCTCCTGGCCGCGCCGGGCGGGTTGTGCAACCTGCGACCGCCCCCGGCCGCCCCCGCCCCGGCCCCGCGGGCCGCGCTCAGTCCCCGCCGCGCCGGTCCCGCCGCCAGCCCCGCTCCGCGAACGGCCCGCGGTGCCCCCGGGCAGCGGCGGCGGGACGGGGGGACACGGGACGGGGGGCACGGGACCCCGACTGCCGAGCGGACAGATGCGGCGGGACGAGTCCGGCAGGGACGGTCCCCGAGGGGCTCCGGGTCCCCGCCGGGAAGGCAGGTGAGGGGCTGCGGGGCGGGGGTCAGGATGGGGGATCCGAGGAGGGGGTCTCCATCGTTCCCGCCGCCCGAGGGAGAGCCGCTCGGCGCCCGCCCCCCCGAACAGTAAGAGTTGATGTGCGGTGAGCTGCATCCTGCATGTGAGCTCCTACTGCCCCGGGAGGCGGGCCGCCCCCGACGGGACCCCCGCCTCCGCCGCCTCGGGACCCCCGGGGATGGGCGAGTGGGGGGAGCCGGTGCTGCCCGCGGTGCGAGTCCGCCTGTCCCGGCGACCATGGCTGTAGACTGTTACCCCCCCAGCGGCACAGTAACAATCTAAAGCCACGGTCGCCCGGGCGGCGTCGGAGTAAGGGGGGGG